CTAAAAGCAGAGACATTATTTTGAAACAGTTTATAGGAAAACATTCGTGCAAAAAACCCACCAAGTATTAGCATATTATAAGGGTAAAACCAACCCTCCGTAGCTACTGCCCTTCACGAGTAAAACTCATTCCCTGAAGCACTAAGTGCCAGGCACAGGTTCTAGCTACGGAGCCCCAGGATGAAGGAGACACTGGCCTTGCCCTTGAAGAGCTCACGGTTCTGCGCTGTGAGAGGAGGTCTATAAAAATAAATATAAGAGCAACTCGAAGGGCGCAGTAGAAGGCACAATGAATCAACTTGGTTGAAAGATTTGGGCCAAACTCAACTGAAGAGAAGATATTTTAGGTAGGACTTGAAAAATGAGTAATGAGAAGGCATTTGAGAGGCAAAATAAAATAGAACGTTAGTGGAAAGAGGAGAGCACATTTCAGGCAGCAAGGATAACACGTGCCAAAGATGTGCAGGACAGGTAGGGATGAAACCAAGGCGGGGCCCTGAGGGGGGAAGGCCAATGAGAAGAAAGGGAAACGCACGTGCAGACATCAGGAAGCTGGACTGGAAGGTTGCAGTCAAATCTTACATGGTGGCTTTGTCACATTCGGACTTCTTCCTAAAGTCAAATCGGAGTCATTTGTGCTTGTTGAAAACGTCCAGTAGAGGATACACGTGAGATTGATTGTAAGGAGAGCCCCGGCCGCACGGGGAGAGGAGAGAAGCAAGCTCAGAGACAAGGTGACCTGTTAGGTGGCCGTTGTGATGTATTCCATGTCAGAAACGATGGCACTTAAGTCAGAGCAGCAGCAGCTGGGATGCTGAGGAGGGAGGGGCCTGAGCGAGAGGGAGAACACAGGCTGGTGACTTGCGGAGGGTGGAGGAAAAGGAGTCTGACCTCGGCTCTTGGCTCGGGTGGAGAGTCAATAAAAATGCCACTGCAGAAGATGATGAATAGGCTTTGAGAGCCAGGTCTGCATGAGGAGACACAGCCGCGTGTACAGGAAGGCAGGGGCTGGGAAGTCAGGAAGGTGCGAGCACACTGCACTGGCTCTCCCAGAGGCAGCTCTCTGCTGGGAAGAACACACCTGCCACTCGAGGGGAGGGGACCAGAGCAATGAATCGGAAGGTCGTCACCTTACAGGCCGCAGTCGAAGCCAGGGGGGCGGATGGGAAAACAGCTGATGCTGAAACCCTCTCTAAGCTACAACACTGTTTAAGGCATCAGTGAAATTATGCTACATCCACGTGATAGGCTTTCCCGTGGTCATTAAACATGACCACAGTGATGACCAGGAGGCAGTGTGGACAAGTGTCTGACGTAAATTGAAGAGATCAGCGTGTAGGTAAAATAACATGGATGGGTCACAAAAACACTGAGCTGGGTGAAAGAAGCCAGCTGCAAGAAGAACATGCTGCATGTTTCCATTGATATGGAATTCTACGATAGACAAAACTAACCAACCTATGGTGATAGAAAGCAAGTCAGTGTTTGCTTCAGTGGGAGGAGGGGTCTATTGAAAAGGGGCAGGAGGGAGTTTCCTGAGATGAGAGAAATATCCTATGCCATGATAAAGGTGTAGGCTATGTGAGGGTATGTGTTTGTCAAAACTGATGGAACTATAATCATTCCCTTGTATGTAAATCATACCTTAATAAAATATCAGAGTACAAACTTCTGTGTATTCATATAAGTAAAGAAGAATATACAAGAATGAGAGTATGTCAGGAGGGTGGAACTAGGGGCTCTTCTCACTTCAAAATTTTAATTGTCATACAATGTTTTTAAATAAAAAGAAAATGTAAAACCTCAAATGCTCATACATGTTTATTAGTTACCCATAAAATGGAAAGCATATTAGATATTTTTTTCCAGAGGAAACAGGAAAGAATCTCTGCAATTAAGGTGTTTACTATCTGAAGGCAACGGAAACACGAGACACAATACACACACGCATGTGAAGTATCAAGGGCTCACTGGAGCAAAGGGAGCCTCAGAGTTTGTTCTAGGGCGACCAAGAGGGAGCTTCTGAAGAGCTTTTGCAGAAGCAAGTGGAAAGCCATTCCACGAAGGGGCCATGGCTCAGACAGCAGAGCGGTGCAGGCTGCGTGGAAGGTGAGCAGGGCTCACCTGGCTGTGCAGGACACTCGTCAGGGTAATGCGTGAGGGGACACTGGGGAAAACCAGTCACCAGAGGAGACACGTTAGGTTCGGAAGGTCAGGAGCGCAACATTCATTTGGGCGTCAGTGCTCCTGAGTCTGTGAGTTGTTCTTTATTCTTTGCAGTTCTTAGTGGCGTGGGACCCTCTCCTCAATTTTAAGGGAGAGGATAAACAACAATCACCCACTAGGAGAGTGACACCAACGGCCCCTCCCTTAACTCGGAGGGAAAAGGTGGGCACTTACACCACGGTTACAGTGAGTTCTCCATGATGCCCCAGGCACCAGGACCGTTGTTTCATGTGTAGTGCCATTTAGTTCAAGCTCCCCAGCACCCCAGCAAAACACATGTTAACTTCACGTGGCCAGTGAGGAAACTGTACTCAAAGACATTAAGTAACTTTACACCAGATGTGGATGGACACAAGCCAGGCTATGACTCCACGCGCCAAGCACTTCACTGTATCAGGTAGGGATCAATCGCATCTCATTTCCATTTGACTGTGAAGCGGAGGAACAGCCTGTCTTGAGGGATGTCTATTAACATTTTGTCTAATTAGCATTCCTCTCTGCAGTACAGTCTATGATCTCACAAAAGAGCAAATGTGGTTAATTACTGCAACACCTGTAAACTGCATACAATTAATACCTACTACATACTTAACAGCAGTGAACAACTGGTGCTGGATGCTTCACAAGGTGTCACCTTGCGTGACCCCTCCAACCACCCTTAGGCAGACGATGAGGACACAGCCTTTTACAGGGAATAAATACAGCGTGACGTGCCCCAGGTCTCCCAGCTACTGAAGATTTGCACCTGGACGCGTGACAACAGCCTGACCACTTTGCATTTCTGCCTCCAATTTTAAAATTGAGTTTTGACCTCTGCCATGGAACCCTGTTTTGTTCTCAGTTCACACTGCCATCGGTCCACCTGGCAGCTTTGAGAGCATTCTTCCTGGACCGCTGCATCAGAAGGACTATTTAAAGTCTTTTATTCTGTCCCCTTGCAGAATCAAAACCCTTCCCGAGAAGCTTTATGTTGTCGCTTAAGCAATTGCACCCGACTCCGTAGCAGCAATGACATTCTCCGAGGCTAGCCTTGGGTGACCGAGAGATAGGGACGGGCCAACCACTGTGTCCTGACTCTGTGAGAGCAGCAGTAAGGGACACCAGAGCACACACTCTCCTTATCGCGGACGGAAAGCTGAGAATGGGCGCGACCTGTGAAGGCTATTTCCTGTCGGGCTATGTGCCTAAGTGTAGGTGCTAAGTACCTGGGTCCCAGGTCAAATCGCTTAATTGTGCAAGCCACCAAAAGGTAAAAAGAGGATGCGCCTTTCAAGCAGAGTGAATGAGAGCAGTGTTCCATTGGCGTTTCTGCCTTGTCTTGGGGAGAAGCTGAAATGTGAACCAGCAGGTAGGCTCCGCTCCACCCCTTCTGGGCTATAATGAACTCTGAACCACACAGAAAAGGCCTCTTGCCCGATCTCCTAACTCTACTCCATCAAATTACTCAAGGCACCGAGAAAAGCAAACGAAGTTGGTCATTTGGATAATCAAAAAGGCAGAAGACGAGTTCAGTAACATGGCAGAGCGCCTTAAAAGTCTCTGAGAGATGTTTCTCAGCTGTGCTTTTCTTGAACTGTTTCCCTTGAACTCTCAAGTCTTTGGGGTCCTGAAGATCCATCTATCTTAAAATTACTTTTCCACACAGAGTCCCTCATGGCCACAGCCCAAAGTAAGGTCAGGAGGAAAGGATGGCCTGGCTCGCTAGGTGCTGAGAAGCCGCAGGGCTCTCTGGGAGGCTGGCGTTGCCCCGCACTGAGAGGTGAAAAGAGGTGCAGAGAGCAGTCTTGACCCCCCCTTCTTATGGCTATTTGATCTTTGCCCCGGGAAAAAAGTGTGTGTGGGTCCAGCACATTACACTGCTGATGCTTCAACGCTGGCCTTGTCCTAAGGAAAATGAGCAGCTTCTCCTAGAATTGGGTGAATGCCATTTTTACCTCTGGCTGTTGCCTTTGCATCCTTCATACACATAGCCACACACAGTTTATGTGGACATGCAGACAGTTGCAAACAGCAAGACTTCAGCCTGTCAATGAAACACTCTAGACCTAGCTAAAGCAAAAAAAAAAAAAAAAAAAAAAATTACAGTGCACAGGGGACCCTAAGGCAATGAGTTCACTCCCACACGTAGCTGAGGTAGGGAAGGCAGTATTGTCTCAGCTGCATGAACCCTGAGGCTTCTTCCAGAAGAGGCAAGATCTAAGGCGGAGGCCAGCCTGGAGCAGTGGAGGCGAGTGGCCAGTGCGCCTGACGTCAGAGGTCCCTGTGGAACTGGGTCCCCATCCACCACCCACCCCATTCCAATAGCGAGGTTAGCCTGGGAACAAGCCTCCTTCCAACAGGCTGCTCCTATATGCAGCCTCCTCCTAACGAGACTCACTACTCACAGCCCACCGCAAGGAAGTGTAATGCAATTACTGTTCGGGGAGAGAGATTTTTCTCACCGCTACTTTTCAAAATGAAAAGTGGCTCAGAAAAAAGATACGATGGAATCATTTAACAGGAGCCCACACAATGACCAGAACCATTCTGTCCCTCTCTTCAGGAAGAGAAATGTTTTGGTCATCAGAAGCTCTGCTAAGCTTAGTCAGATCAGAGCCAGGAATTCTGTCAACTTTATGTCAAGCTGCCAAGATTCAAAAGAAATGTCGACAGTAAGCGTTTGCACAGACACACCAGAGTGGGACAGCGAGCCCCTCCCGCCTGCATGCAGACCAGCAAAGCCAACTGTCCCATTTGCCCCCAGCCCCGAAACACTTAGCAAAAGAAGCTCTTACCCAGCTCTCCCCGGAGGTTAACAAGTTCTTGAGATAGGGCTTTGTGTTGTTTCAGCGCTTCCTCCCGCTGCGGAAAACAAACATCAAGTTACTAATGTTTTCAAGAGGGTCCCTTTCAGCGAGGCACACATTTGTTATCACCCGAAAACCGAGCCTCAGAAGCGAGCAACGGAGATATGAATCATTTAGGCGAACAGTTTGTGTTGTTGGAAAACACAGATGTCCCTTAGTTGTTAAGGAAATTCGTGCTTCAAAAATCTGTATTTTCTCAGGTCCCTGGGAAACTTTCATCTGAGGCACTGAAAAATATTTACTCTGAGGCACGCTTCATTGCTGATCTGTAGAACCTTTCAGCTAATGCATACTGTACCTAAGACGTAATGTAGCCTCCCCCTCCAAGCACACTACAGACCTAATCAGCCTAAGATAAATATTTAATGTTCTAAACATATGCCCTTGTGTGCACTTTGTCCTATATTTGCAAATTTTAAAAGGTGTGTTCCACTCCTTTACTTCTAAAAGGAAGACATGAAGCTTGTTATAAAGTTACTGCAAAAAACAATCCTTTAAAGACAAAGTTAAATTGATTTTACTCAGCTACACATTATTTTCTAAAGATTATAATATTTTGAATCAGCTGGAATTCTAAGTAGATGCTAGAGAAAGGAATCAAAGAAAACCAGGCAGCTGTTTCAGTACTAACAAAGCAATTATCAATCTTGCAAAAACAAAAAAAACCAAAACAAAACAGTTTCCCAGGGACCCACAACTCACAGCAACCACACATGGACACACACTTACACAAGCCCAGCAATGAGATACCGTTTCCTGCCACGCAGAGACCCTAGCCCAGGGTGTAAGGAAGAAAAAGGCAGAAGTCGGAGCTCCCTGGAAATGCCCTCATCGGATCAGCCAAGTCGGAGCTCCTGCCGCACCTTGATCGCAGTGTGGCGGAGATCGTGACTCCCAGCCCTTGCCAGCAAGAGTCACTTGTCATTTAAAGCATTTCCCCCTAATTCCAGGCCACCTCCACCTTCGTCCCTGACATTCTTCCAGAAAAGCACCAGAAACAAATACTAATTACCCTTGTTGCTGAACATGGAGAATAGAGGCACATTTTGCTGCTGGAGCAGCCCATTTTCCAGCTTCTGTCTCCGACTCTCCCCTCCCCCCGCACTGGCCAAGAGGTGCACAGGTGGCCACGCCACCCACCGGTCTGTCTACATTGACAGCTCTACCAGGAGGCGGGCCATGGGTCCCCGGTTAGCCTTACTTCACGTCCTGCAGGTTAGCGTCTGCCTCTGCCGGCTCTCCCTGCACAGAAGCTGATGCTGCAGCTTGCGCCTTTGGCACAGGCAGCCCGCGATCACTTAAAGCCACAGCCCTTCTTTTATGAAAAACGAGAGCCAGGCATTAGCCTGATCGATCGCCACTTACTTAAATATCAGCTGCTACAGTGGAAAGAAAAACTGACCTTCTCTGCGTGGATAATGGAGTTATTTTTAGATTTGTGAGCCTTTTTTATTCCCTTCTCTAATTGAGGTCATTAGATTATCACACTTACTAATAGAAAAGGGAAATGTGGTCTCCAGCACCTGTATAGGATGTAACGATGAAAGTGTGTATTGTGACTTCTAATCTGAAATGGCATCATAAAGTGAATGGTGTTTTCCACAAGGTTCAATTTGAATGCTTAGAACACGGTCCCCTGGTGACTTAAGAAACAGTGTGAAATTCTGGTTTGAGAGTTGAAGATTAGATATATTTGATAACTTGTACTTTTCACTTTGTAACAGTGTCTCACTGAAGCGCCAGGGAAGTTAATGATACACTTGCACAGTCATATAGACATTTAACAGTGACTGAAATGTAAGAAACTTTCTCACTGAGACATTTTCATCTTAATGGTATTTTAAATGCTTGATTTTTAAAATGCAGAACTAAGTTGTTCTAAAATCACAGATCACTGAGTCTGTGTTTTAAAAATCAGCAAGTAATGGGTTTTTTAATGTAGAAATTAAAGTTTGAGGAAAATCAACATGGATAAAAGTAGAAGAAAGTTAAAAAAAACAGATACACTATATATTTCTCTTAATCTCATAAATTTAAGCCCTAATTTTGTTTGCATGGTTATCTAGTTCAGCAAAGTATCAGCATGTTTTGTCACTCAAGCCACAACAAAACCAGAAGGCGGCTTTCCTAGCTATTCACAAGCAACCCTGCAGCGCATTCAGTGAAATGGCTTACAAGTTACTTTTTCCAATGGTAACTACATTGTTAATAGAAAAAAAAAAAGCTGGCAGCTGGCAACAAGTTCTATCACTTTTCTATAAAAAATTAAGTTGGTATATAATTTCCAAAAGTCATTCTGTGAACAATTTTACACCCTCTCGCAGATACATGCCAGGCGATCTTTTTGCTTATTAAAGAGATTTGGGGACAAGGAATTTCAGTACCATGTGGACACTTCTCCCAACTCCACTGCCCTCACCCTTCCTGCCCTTGGCACCCAGAAGCCATGAACATCTTCCAGGCTCTGTCAATCCCAGGAACAGGAACAGGAAAACCGTGAGGTCATCGTTGGCTCTGCTTTGTCTAAATGGGTGTGCTAGAGTTGGTCAGTCTTCCTTCCTGATGCGTCCTGAGCTGCTCTTTCCTACCAGGACTCCCTCCACCCTAGGCCTGATCCTTGCCAGCCCGTTCCTGGACTGTTGAAAGCATCCCTCCTCCGCACCACCTGGCAGAGGGCTGCTAGAGCACCCCACATCCCTCGTATATATGAACACCCTCGCTTGGAAAAAGTCTTCCATTGAATGCATACAAAAAGATCAGGACCCTGAGTCCATTAACCTCAACCACACAACCGCTGCTGAGGCTCCTGATTTCTCTTCTGTCCAAGCCACGCCCGCCAAGCATGTCCCACCTGCACACTCGGGAAGGCCTGATCTGCTTGACCTGACCCACTGTGTAAACCTTCGGGGAATGCTGAGTGCCAGTCACTGACACCCTCCTGCTTCCCCAAATGCCGATACCAAGCGTCTATCATTCTGAGGTGGTTGGCAAATTATGACTCATTACCAATTCACCAACTGTTCCCCATGCTGGGAAAAATAGGAGACAAATTTAAGACATGGTCCCTGCCTTCGATAAGCTGGGGATCTAAGGAGAACGAGAATGTCCAGGCTCCGTTCTTTCATCATGTCTCAAAGAAGATGACCTCATCTGAGGGGAAGCAGTACAGGATCCTGGAAAAACCAAGGGCTTTCAGCACGGCTCTACGTGCTATGCTGATCACAGTGCGTAACAGCACGTACTGTTGGTTTTAGCCCAGCTCTCCCTGGTAGCTTGCTGTTTAAGATACTTAACCCTTTCCTGATAGATGATAAAATGTATTTCGTCATTTAGATACTGATTGCCTATTTCTTTTTATTCAGCTGCTCCCACATCGGTGTTTCTGTCTTAGATAATAAACTCTTTTTAGTCCAGATAACGAATTTATTTAACTCTCTTTGTGGCGTAAGATGCAGAATGTCACACAATGTGAAAAAAGGCGGCGGTGGGAACCTCCGTAGAAAAATGCTTTTATACTCATACATTAAATACATGACGTGCTCCAAGAAAAAAAAAAATGAATGCACCATAATTTAATTAGGACTCCCTGGGACACAAGCACTTAGTCTCTGGCTGGCGTCCCACCAGCGGGCCTGAGTTGGCTGGCTTTTGAGAGCGAGCAGCACAGGGGGGTGCAGGGAAGAGCCCCATCAGATGGCCGAGACATGGGCCACGTCTGCCCTCCTCCCCGGACCCACGCAATGAGCTGTGTCCACTCTTGTTTTTGTTCTGAGACTATTTTCCTCACGGTGGACTGCTAGCATCACCCAAAATTCACCTCTGATTAGGTGCTACTTTAGGTAAGAATCCTCTTGTGAAAAAAAGAAGAGAATTGGAGGCACACTGGCTCATCAGCCAGGGGCTGGGGGGTGGCCTCGATCCTGTTCCGGCTTGCCCGGGACCTCATCCGTAGACCCCTTGATGAAGAACCTGGGATTGCTATCAACGCGGCCCTTCACTGTGGCAGTCTGTACAGAAGGCTGTACAACCATGCAAGGATAAAGCAAGAATGAGAACTAAAACCATACTGGGTTCTTTGAGAGGCAGGAAGTGTGGTATGAGTTTCCAGATTCATGAGACATTTATTAGAACTTCTGGTATGTAATGAGTTTTGTCTGCCGCTAAGGTGGAGAAGTTGTAGTTATTAAATAGATTTGCAACAAAAGGATAAGTTAATGTTCCAGTATGCCTTATAATCAGCCATATTTACCCATAATCTAAAGTTCCAAAACCATTTAGACAAAGTTAGCAATAAATAGATATATATGCATATACAGATCAATCGACAGCTACGAAATCTATATCAATCAATCAGTTCTGTAATGGAGGGTTAGGAGAAAATCGTTTTGAGGAAATTGCTTAACTTTTCCCCTGGTTATGTCTTTCCTTCCCAACTGTTTCATAACAGTGTCCTGGTACACATTAGGCAATGAGTAAATGTTTGCTGATTGATTATGAAGTGCTAGCAAAGAGCATTTATATAAAGACTTTCTATGTTCAACTCATATCTAGGGTTCCAACCTCTCCTCATCCATTCACTCATTCAGGTGTTCACTGTATGTCTATTACGTATAAGGCACAGCCATCACCGCTGGGGGGTTTCCCAGGAAAGAATTAAGCCCGGATCCTGCTCTCAGTGAGCTTCCCATCTTAAAAAGCAGAAACAAGTGCTAATTCGTTACCTACAACATAAGGTAGAGACTGGCAGAAAGGTAGGTGAGCCTGGAATCCAGGCAGCAGACAGAACATGGCGCCGGAAGGACAGGGGAAGTCTTCACAAAGGCGGGGTTTGAGCTGGACTTTCAGAAATTCCGTGGAGTCACATTGCATGGGCATTTGTACTTAAATTAGGTGTAAGATGAAATTCACATAGAGTAAAAGTATCCCTAAAACCGACTAAGAATTAGCCCTGCAGTGACTGACAAAGCATCCCTCAGTATGTCCCACCCTGTGAGGTTTGTCCCTTAGGGTGGGACACACTGAGCACCTAATAAAGTGTCTTTGGCTTGTGTTTAGGGGCCAGGCCATACGGGCGGAGAGCACCCTTACACACTAGGCTCACACAGACGTGGACGGCTCGTGCTCACGAGGTGTTTAGGGACTGAGAACATGGCTGGAGGAAGAGGGGACTCCTGTCTCATCTCACGCCCACACCTGGGCCCTGGCTCCCTGACGGGCATGGAATGCAGAACTGCCTCATCTATCTCATCTGCATTTTCGACTTTGTCTGTCTGTCCAATGAATCTGCCAAACCGAATGCAACTTAAATTCAGGTGGTGAGAGGATTTGCTCTAAGATCTGAACATGTGTGTGTTAGGAGGAAGTGCAGCAGTAGTCCCGTAACAGTATTCGAACAAAGGACAGAAAAAGCACAGGAAGTTCATAGGGGTTTTGAGTTCATAGTGTCCTAGACCGGGGTTCAATCCTGAGTCTTCTCTTACTAGATGTCTGATGGTAGTCAAGTTTCTTAACAGCTCTGTGCCTCAATTTCATTTGGAAATTCCTACTTACAATTTTGGAAAGGGTTTAATAAGTAAGAATGTCTAGCACTTCGCAAATATTCAATACATGTTAAATCCCTCTTGCTTCTCTTCTCCTTCCCTAACTATATAGCTGGAACATCGCACAGTGAGGGGAAGGTTAAACAGGGCAGTTGGTGCCAGACTAGAGTCTCCTATTCCCAGTTAAGCCAGAGTTATTCAAAAGAAATATTATGTGAGCACTGTACGTAATTTTAATTTCTTAGTAGCCACATTTTTGAAAATTTAAAAGATTAATTTTAATAATATATTTTATTCAACCCAGCATATCCAAGATATTATCCTTTCAACGTACAGTTGACAGAAAATTATTAACGAGATAATTTATTCTTTTTTTTTCATTCTAAGTCTTCAAAATCCATGTGCATTTTATATTTACTGTGTTTCTCGATTCAGCCTGATTACACTTCAAGTGGTCAAGAGCTTCGTGAGGCTTGTGGCTACCACAGGGGACAGAGCAGCTGCAGACAATGAGAGCCATGGAAGGTTTAGCCCGTAGAGCGGAATCCCCTGGAGAGGTGAGACGGTTAGCAGGGCTTGGGATGCATTATGGGGGGGTGCAAACCTGCGGACCGGTTAAGAAGTTATTGTAACTTCAGGGAGAGTTATCCAACATCTGAACGAGGCTGGCATCAGTAGGAAAAGGAAAGAAGGGATGAACGGGAGAAACACTGTGCGCTGAGGGGCCACAGAACTTGGTGATTGAGTTAATGTGGGAGATAAAGGAGGGTAAAGGACGGAACATGGGGTTGTGAGGCTGGATATAATAAAATGAATAACTGGCTTATAACTAAAAAGATAAACTAATTGTTCCCTAAACTAGGTATTATGTGGTTTCACTTGGTTATAGAAACAAACTCGAGAATTCCTTCCTTGCATATTAAGGTAAAACAAACACACTGTTCACTATTATAATTTAAAAACTAGGGAAATGTCTCCATCTCCCTCTCAAAAAAATATATTTGGACAAAGCTGTGGAATGTTCATCAAATATCGATCTAAACTGTCTCCTGGCTTGGCAGCTCGTCAAAGACACAAACCAAGCCTCATTCACCTCTGTCTCCCTTGCCTCACGCAGGCAACCACATCACAGACACCTCTGTAGGAAATAAATGTAGGTTTGTTGGATTGCACTAAACTACAGAAAAAGCAAACTGAACTGTTTTCTTCTTGAGATGTCATGCATACTTATCTTTAAAACTGTCAATTAAAAATATCTAAAGAGCTCAAGTTATATCTCACCACGGTGTTTCCCTTTAGATAGTAGTTTTTGTTGCTATGCCAGAAGCACACATTCATAGACACTTGGTTTTCTCACTGAATATTAACTAGTTCCACAATTGACATCCTTGTAGCATATCAGGGAAGAGTAAGCAAGCAAAGGAAATCTGTTTTGCATTTGGTGTACCACAAACTATTTTAGGAATGGATAGAAATTCTTCAGAGTTCCCAAACCAATACTGGTAGCGCAAAAGTGTTCTTTGTCCTATAAATATTATACAATCAACCTCATTTTTCAAAGCATTAAACTAAGTGTGATAGGGAAAGCTACACAAAGACAAAAAAAAATCAAGTGAAAAAATGTTAATGCTAATATAGTCTGGAAGTGCATAGACGTGTAACACACAAATATCTTTTAACTATTGTTGGTCTAAGAGACTCTATCTAAAGAAGAAGTACCTACCAGAAATGTTTTCATCCCAAATTTCTAGAGAGTCACTCAAGTATCAAGTGAGTTGGCATAACTGGATGAATTATATCTGATTTTACCAATCATCAATGTAAAGATACTCACAAAACTAACCATGAGCACTGCTTCCCACCCCGGCCCCGTCCCCGCCCCAGTGAAAAAGACTGCTTGGGGGTGTGCATCCTTACCTCCGACAGCAGGTGCTGAATCACGACTGCTAGTGCTTCGAACCTGGTACTACCACAGGAAACAAGCTGCTTCAGGTGCAGAATAAATCTACTCTGGTTTTCACATTTTGTTTTACACTGAGCCAACTCAAGGGCTTTCTCAGAAGACAGCACATCCGGAGACGTCTGAGTTTGGATGCATAAACTTCTGGGAGCCTTCTGTCTGCCGTTTTCAACTGCAAAAGGAATTAATAAAAGGTGGTAAAATATCTGATTTTGATTTTTATAATAATCACCACATGCATTTGAATACAATGAGATAAGCCACAGAAATGCATTTAAGTTATGTTTACATAAGGAAAGCATATGAATGAGAACTGGAAGTAATCAGATACCTAGAAGTTTGGAATTCACAAACACAGACAATGGTTTTAATTTTGACCTTTACAGATTTCTATAGGGCAGAGAACTATCTCCACTAAACAAATTTAGCGATCCAGAAATAGCAAAATTGTGTACAAAATAATGTTGGTTTCATAGCTTCTAATTTTCTAGGTAAATTGGTACAGAAACTGGACTGTTACAATTCTCCTAACTCTATTTCTGGTCACATATGCTGAAAGAAAAAAAACACAAATTATTGGACTTTAAATGCCTTTCCGGCCTCCTACACATTTTTTACGAACTTCCCATCCTTTCTCTGCTGACAGTATGGTCATTACAAAGATTTATACTGCAGACAAGTCATTCCCTAACTCTAATAAATCATCGTGTACATTGAAAATCTACTCACATCTTGTCCCTCATCTTTAAGTTCATTGTTAAGAGTCCTCTACTCTTGACTATGCTGTCCCATTTTCTACCAAACACAAGCTTTGCTGGGTTTTTTTTCCCTTCCAAGTAGTAATAATGTCTTAAATATTTTTTAAAAGCACATGCTAATATTCAAAGCCATCTGAGGCAACATGCCAAGTTAATTAGTCACTTTCTCTGCCACTGCGCCCTGGGAATCACTCTGTTTTAAATGAGAAACTGTTCCGTTTTGGAGCCATTCCAAATGTCTCAGTCCCTTTAAATATCAAACAGAATTGGAAAAACAGGAAACAAGCTGCTTAGCTTCTTGAAATTAGCAGGCCAAATAATCAAAACAAATCTAAATCTGAAAAATAAAAAGCTACAAGAAACTTAAAAAAAAAAAACTGCCACATGTTTTCTTGTTCTAACAGGCATACCCTATGGCATCCCGTTCTGTGGTAATAAACAGACCTAAGAGGATCTTAGCAACAGTAATCACTTTCTCCCATTTTTCAGGAGAAAGAAAACCACAGTGACTTCTTGAAGGGAAATAAACAAAGAAACCTCAGAACCAATGACAAAAGATGCTCGATATACTTTTTAAGTTAAAAACAGAAAAAAGGGCTTTCATTTTCTACGGCTGCTTTCCATGGTTAACTCATATTGGTATTAATGGTTGGTAAGCCTCAGGGCTGAAATTGCTAAAATATCTATTGTGTTTTAAAATTACTTGAAGAGAGGGGAGAAGTGTTTACCCATTATTCTTTATTTATAATCATTAATAGTTTTCTGTTGATAATTGCCAATTCCCTAGCAGATGGAGAAAGTAACTAAGAGTCATAATATTAAAGTCCTGAAGGAAGAACAACTTTATTGAGTCACTATGTTAATGAAAAAATAATCTAAATATTATAATATGTCAAAATATCTGAGCTTAGTATTCCTTCATTTTGTCATTCCCTAAAATGCTTTTAGAAATTATATTTTTCTATACCTATGATAATAATTATACAGTGTTTTGCTGTTCATAGAGGGTTTCACTTTCCTCTGGTTTGATCCTCCCAGCCACCCTTGCCAGGCAAGGGGACATTCAAGAACATGAAGGATCTTGCCCAGGTGTGGACAGCGTCTATGGGACAGATTCAAAGGCAGAGCCAAGGCCTCTGAAGCCAAGTCTCTACTGTTCCCATGCATTTTGGAGGTGGAAATGGGGTGCAAAGGTAATGCATTTCGTAACTAAAACTAGGCAAGTATGCAACAGTCTTGATCAAATGCTACTTCAATACATTCAAGCCCATTATCTGAGAACTCTTCATTTCAATAAACCTATACAGAAACAACTATGTTTTATACAGTGTTTTCTATATTTTACACAAACAGAACAGCAATGAAAATTTTTAACTTTTTGACCATTGAGACTTCACTGCAATATGTGTAGATGGAAGTTCATTCTTCTGATTACCATTGCTATATGTCCTACCAATACTTACTGAAATATCCATTTATTTATTGATACATTGCTTTGAGTTCATTTCTTGAATCCTTAACAGTTATTTGATTTTCTTTCTATAATTTAGATGCTAATCAATTTCATAATTTAACACAATATCACAGTTTTAAAACTGTTAGGTTTAATTATTTATAAACTCTGAGTGGTAAGTCTTTTATATTAAAATTTTGGAAAAAATATTCTGTAATATTCTTATCTACTTAGTTGTTCAGATGAATTTTAATATTCAGTAATAAGGTCTAATAAGTTATTTCATAAGAAAATATAACATATTGAGTTAAATGTAAATTAACATACTAATCATTGTTTTTCACACTCCAGTTCAGAATATGGGTACTCTCTTTATAGCACCACGCTTCGTATTTTCCTTCAAATTATCCCTTATACCAAAGTCAGGCCATAGTTAAGTATTTACATTAGGCTCCTTTGTGAACTAATTTTTTTTCACTGTATTATCAAGATTTTAAAAAATTTAACCTACAACTCCACTGAAAGTGTTTGCTAGTAATATTGTCTCGGCTAAATTCCCTGTTTCATAGTGGATATAAAGTATACTTTAAAATAATATATTTACATCATGTTATGAATCTATCAATACATTTTTTTTTTAAATATGGAACGCTTCACGAATTTGCGTGTCATCCTTGCGCAGGGGCCATGCTAATCTTCTCTGTATCGTTCCAATTTTAGTATATGTGCTGCCGAAGCGAGCACTATCAATACATTTTTTAAGTGTTTAAAACTTGAGTTGGATTTGCAGACTCCTTATTAGACCGTTGAATCCATTATGATTGGTCACTGATTTTAATTCCGTGAACACGGTGGCTTTTCTCATGCCACAGTGGCTTCACATTCCTGAGACGAGCTCTGGATTTCTTCGGATACATCAGTGCGACAGTGGAAAGCTGTTCCCTGGCTTCTTGCAGAGGATTCAGATGGCGTAGGTTCTCGAGGGAGACTGGCACCTGCACACTTCCTTTGGTGTATTTTGGTTGTTTTAGCTTTGGGTAACAAAATGGCATTTGTGCTGATAAAAGTCCTATTTCCATATTTTGAAACTGTTAAATATGTCAGGGCATATATGTTCTTTGAAAGTTTAGACAATTTTCTAGAACCCCAAACTGTATTAAGAATGCTACGAAGATCACTCTAGAATGAACTAGAGTCATTTTTACTAAGGTACATTTTGGAAAACATCAACTGTCCAAGTGTAACTGCGTTTCAGTCACGCAAGTGTCCTGGCTCTTAACGGCTCTTCCATTTGTGCTTTGCCTGGTTGCGGGTTCAACCTGCGATGCAGTTAAGTGTGGGGTGGCAATCCCAGCGAACCAGAGCAGCAGGGGACGGGGAGAGACTGCTTCAGCGAAACCTGCGCGATCGCTCTACCAGCCTCTGTCTCTCAGACTGTCTGTGTGGCCTGAGAACTGGAATCTCAGGAGGCGGGGAAGCCTGTTGCCCAGCAGCAGCCCCTAAGTGTCCGGCCACGGAAAACCCAGATGTCGTGCCTAAGACACACACACTGCTTTGCCTCAGGAAGTGATAAAAATCGTCCGATCTGTCCTTCGTGATGCAGTTTTAAATGCTACCCGAGAATCTCACCCAAACATTTAAAGCCATTCTGGTCACATCTCTCTGCGTAGTTTCGTTTCCTCAAATTGATGTTTGAAAACATAAAAGCTCTGTGAGAAGTGTTCTTTAACATACCCTAGCACAAACTATTGAGTTGACAGCTGGGAAGCCAGAGCTTATCCTATTATGAATACTACATGGGAGCAATATGACATCTATAGAGGGGTTTTCATTGCAAACTTGTTTACCATGAAAAAACCGAAGAAATAACCTGAACGTTCCCAAGTGGAGGACTGGTGGAATAAATTCCTGTACATTTATATAATCACCACAGCTGTGACACAGAACTAAGAAACTCTCTATGGTAAATGAAAAATAAGCACACTAAGGAACAATGTAGATAGTATGCCCCATTGTATACAAATAGACATATAAGACCTTATTTTCTTTTTTGCTTATAAATGCATAGCAAAATTATTATATAATACATATAAAAATAACAACAACGTTTACTTTCCCAGAGAAGGGAACAGGAACCAGCCAGAGACAAGGTATTTCAATGCATTTTTTATACTTTTTAACCATGGGGTAAATATTACCTATTGAAAATAAAAATGTAATGGTATTTTTTAAAGGTTGTTAAAATGAATTCTGAGCATTTAAAAACCTTTGTATCATATTTAGCCATCAAGAAAGCATAGTCAATCTGTGTTTCTTCCTTGGGGAATCTAGACAAGAATCTAAACCACATGGGTTTTGTCGTATGTGAATACTCAGACCAGATTTACACTTAAGGAGAAAATAAAACATTGACGTTATTCTTCTCAGAGTACACGTCTTCAAATTTCAACAAAAGAGCCAATAAGCGAATAGATTGAGCTCTACCTGGAGCTGGAAAAGCAAGGTGTGACCTCAATCTTCCATTCCATATACTGTGTTCCCTACGGACAAAATTGTACCACGTGGCGGCAGATGACCCAGTTTGAGCATCCTTCCTACCCTCCTCTCGCCTGGCTCAGCTGAAGATCAGAGATGATGCAAAAATCTCCAGTGAGGCTCCAAGCCCCAGTGCTCAAAAACAGGGTGTTTCATAACACTCAAACACAGCCGTTTCCCTTAAATCCTATGGAACTCATTATTTGTAGGACGTGAGCATAACGTGAACCAAACTTGGTCCTCACATTCCATTTATTAATGTATTACCACTTTGATAACACAGCTGTATTTGAAAGCACAAAATATTCTGTTTATTATACTTATTAACAGATATGTTCTGATTTCAAAGAATCAATTTAATCGGAAGCCTTTAAATTACATGTTAACTTCTACATAGATTCAGATGTCGCTCAGCGAGATCATTAC